AAAAAAAAAAAAAAAAAAAAAAAAAAAAAAGCTGGACAATAAAAGAACTTCTGGAAGCATCACAATCCCTGACTTCAAATTCTACTACAGAGCTACAGTACTGAAAACAGCCTGGTATTGGTATAAGAACAGACAGGAGCACCAAGGGAACCGACCAGATATCAATCCACACGTCTTCAAACACCTGATTTTTGATAAAGGAGCAAAAAATATCAAATGGAAAAATTTAACAAGTGGTGCAGGCATAGCTGGATATCAACATGTAGAAGAATGAAAATAGACCCACATCTATTACCATGCACAAAACTCAAGTCCAAATGAATCAAAGAGCTCAACATAAAGCCAGCCACACTAAACTTTATAGAAAAAAAAAGTGGAAATACACTTGAACACATTGGCACTGGAGACCACTTTCTAAGTATAACCCCAGCAGCACAGACACTGAGAGCAATAATTAATACATGGGACCTCCTGAAATTGAGATACTTCTATAAAGCAAAGGACACTGTCAGTAAGACAAAATGACAGCCTACAGAATGGGAAAAGATCTTTACTAACCCCACATCAGACACAGGTCTGGTATTTAAAAGATACAAAGAACTCAAGAAATTGGTCACCAAAAGAACACATAATCCAATAAAAAAAATGGAGTAAAGACCTAAACAGAGAACTCTTAACAGAGGAATCTAAAATGGCTGAAAGACACTTAAGGAAATGTTCAACATCCTTATCATCAGAGAAATGCAAATTAAAGCAACTCTGAGATTCCATCTTACACCTGTAAGAATGGCCAAGATAAAAAAACTGATGAAAATTTATGCTGGAGAGGTTGTGGGGAAAAGGGAACCCTTTGCATTGCTGGTGGGAATGCAAGCTGGTACAGCCCGTTTGGATGTCAGTGTGGCAATTTCTCAGAAAATTGTTGAAATAGGAGCGGCGGGGCTGCGTCCCCAACACCCCGGCCGCTTGGCTAGCTCATGCCCGAAATAACAACACACAAACTGTATTCAATTAAACACTGCTTGGCCCATGAACTCTAACCCTTACAGGCTAATTCTCGCACCTGGACTAGCCCATTTCTAATAATGCGTGTAAGCACCCCAAGGTGCGCTTACTGGGAAGATTCTAGCCTCCGTCCATTGTGGGTCTGAGCTTCATGCGTCTGCCTCAGAGCGCAGAGCTGTTGGGTCTACCTGGGAGGGCTGAGCATGGCGTCTCTGCTCCAGCAGAGCTGTTGGGTCTCTCCAGGAGCAGAGCAGAGTCTGACCTCACTTCCTCTTCCGCCCAGCATCCTATTCTGTTTATTCCACCCACCTATGTTCTAAGCTATGAGGCCAAGCAGTTGGTTTATTATAATTAATCAATTACCTTCCTCCATCAGAAAATTAGGAAACAACCTTCCTCAAGACCCAGCAATACCACTTTTGGGTCTATATCCAAAGGATGCTCAATCGTGCCACAAGGACATGTGCTCAATTATGCTCATAGCAGCATTTTATGTCATAGCCAGAATCTGAAAATAACCTAAATGCCCCTCGATTGAAGAATGGATAAGGAAAATGTGGTACATATACACAATGGAGTACTATACAGCAGAAAAAATAACATCTTGAATTTTGCAGGCAAATGGATGGAGCTAGAAAACATTATTTTGAGTGAGGTCACCCAGACAAAGAAAGACAGTTATCATATGTATTTACTCATGGATGGTTTTAAAACATAAAGCAA